CTACAGTACTGATACTGTAAATGAAAATACGGTAATAATACTGTAAATAAAATACAGTAAAGACAATGTACTGTAAATGCCATTACAGTACTGATACTGTAAATGAAAATACAGTAATAATACTGTAAATAAAAGTAAGTAAAGACATTACTGTACTGTAAATGCAATTACAGTACTAATACTGTAAACATTTTTACAGTAAATTACTGGCATCCAGCTGCCAGTAAGTTACTGTAAAATTTACAGCAACCTATTTACAGTGTATATATATATATATATATAAAAACATACTGTATATAATAACCCATTGGACAAAATGTTCTTTTTTTTTAAAATTATTAAAATGTTCTTCACACTAAGAAAAGATTGTTCTTTTAAAAACTGTTAACTGAAAAAGGCTCTTCAGGAAATCCAAAATGGTTTTTCTATCCACCTTATTCCTAAACGCGGAAGTAAGCCTATGGGCGAGATTTCCAGTTCATTAGCCGCTATAGGAAAGTAACGAGAAGAATAACAACGTACAGTAAATGGTAAAACGGTTTGCACTACAAACCAGTGTGCTCATAATTAAGATAATACATTAAAATAATATGGTAAGACACAAATTTGCACTATCAAGCAGCAAAATGAGCTGTTTTGTACAGCTAAAAATAGCTGGAAGCCAATGTGACCGGAAGCAAGACCCATAAAATTTACAGATGGCCACGTCCATTTTTACGGGAAGAATATGGATTGCATTGCTGCAAAAAATAATAATAATTAAAAAAAAAATAAAAAAAAAAATTAAAAAAAAAAAATATATATATATAAAACCTTTATTTTCAATAGTGTACAAAGGGTCCTTCATATCGGGAAAAATATTATTTAGATGATTAAAATATTATTCATGACACTTTAACTTTGACTTTGATTATTAAAATGTTCTTCACACTGTTCACTTAAGGGTTATTTGTGGAACCAAAAAACGTTCTTCTGTAGCAACCTCTTTTTGAAATGTTGAAACATATTTTTAGGAGTGTTAAAAAAAATGTGAGCTTTTATTGTTAGAGCATATATGCTGAGGTTACTACAAATAAATCTTCACATCCATGCATTTATTTCTAAAATATTCCTGTAGTAAGTACAGTCATTATGGCAAAATAAACTCCCAACTCGTCTGGCATTTCTCAGTCTCCCCTCACATAATAAAATTATTTGAACTCCAATTTCAGGTGCATATCTTTATTTGTTTTATTAGCAGATGAACTTCTTGAGGGTCCTGATCACCCTTTCGGGTTTATTTTACAGTAATGACCCGCTGACTGTGTGTTACCCCTAGCATGAGGTCGTTAACGATGCTTTCAGAATTACTACCACAACATTACATTTTCAAAGTAGCCCACCAGCATGAGACATGCACTTTAAATCCAGGAATTCTCAGTCCCTCTTGCCGATTAGTGGGCATTAAGGAGTTGGGTGGGGTTAAAGAAAGAATATCTTCCTTTTGTTGTAGTGAAGAAGGCGGGGTCTTGTCTTCTTCGCTGTGACTTCCGGAGGCCGAAGGGGGTGACATAAGGAAAGGAGCACCCTCTCCGGCGCAGTACCACTGAGCGCGGCTAGAGGGCGCCGCTGAGAGCGCTGCTCTGCCGTTGAACTGCGCGAGCGAGCGGAGCCTCAGTACCAGACCGAGAGCAGCACGGATCAGTGCCGGAGAGAGACGGAGGGACAATTTTGTCGCTACATGCCGCCGCTACCGCACGGAACATTATAACGCAGCGGAAAACGGCCAACTCTATCGGTTTCTTCATAAAGTACGGAATTTAAACGATGTACTGTTCGGGAGGCGTGATGCTGGGGCTTCTCGCCGCTCTGCAGGTACGTTAACGTTAAAATCGAGGGTCCGACAAGCGATGTGCGCTCGGGCGCGATGCTGCTTTATGTTTGAGCTTTGGCGTATTTGCTGTGGTGTTTGTAAACAGTGGAGAAATTATTGGTGTGCAGAATACAAATAAACGATTTTGCTTAGTGGCAGGATATTTAAATAGGGCGATAGTTAGATCATATTCAGTATAATAGGTTTTTCGGTTTGTCTCGACTTCATGTCGCATCTAATTTGCTTGCTATGCAATTCTAAAGAGTCTTTATTTTATTATTCTCGCTTCAGAGTGACTCACAAGAGGTTTAGTCTCTGTGTGCGATGGCTTTATGTTGTGTAGCCGTTAGATTGTGTACTAGCAGCCCCGTTTAAACCGTCCTGTGCTGAACCGGAGCCAGTCGCAGATGAATGCGGGTTTTCAAACGCGCTCTCGCTTCTTTTGGCACGAGATGGAAAAGTTGCCCTTTGGGGAGGTGATTAGGTCACAATGGTCCCTTTCCGAGTTCCGACTGATGAAACAGATGTAACAATAATCAGTTAATGAACAGCTCATTGAGGTGCCCTCTTCCGCCGACTCTGTCTCTTTTAGATGTGCAAATGCGAAATCTCACGGCGAACGACGGCTCTGTGCGCAACCCAGATATGACAAATCAGTCTGACCCGGATCAGCGATCGGAGAAATGAATCGTGCTGTCAGGTTTTGGGTCCGCTGCCCTCCGAATTGCTGAAAATGCAGAGTCCAGCAGAATTAACATTTGAACGCAGGGAGCAGTCATGCTATGTTTCCATCAGCCTTCTCATATGAGAAATTGCTAGCAAATTGTTATGTTGTGATGGAACCAAACGTGTGAAAAATCTGCATGGCAATAAAGTTAACATTTGGCCATCGGCCATTTGGCCCGGGTTTCAATGTTTTTATTGTGTTTGTGGTCTGCAGTTGCAGAATTTGCAGTCCTGACCTCGTAAATGTATTATTGCGGCACGTTTTTAAAGTGTAACTTTAACTAATGTCGCGTTTTACTACTGTTTGTGTGTGATATAACGGTTCCACATGTTTAAAAACCCGCTGCTGTTTGATAGCGACGTGCGATTGGTGAACGAGTCATTCTTTGGAGTCGAATCTTTCCAGTGAATCATTAGAACTGGTTATGTGAGCGAATTGGGCTGAGTTGTTCTCGAGCCGACAACTCACTGATTTATTGAACCGAGAATCGTCCGATTCGTAACGAGCCTGTTAAAAATTAAACGTGCTGGAAAAAATATTAAAATACAGAGCTGTTTAAAAACATTGTTATAGCAAAAAACGCTTTCATCCAAGAGATACGAATGATTTTTTATATTGTTTAATATAAATACAAATTACATTTGCGTGCTTAATGTTTTTATGAACTGAATCATGACTGCAACAAACTGAACTGAAACACGTGTAATTATAATAAACAGACTTATTAATAAAAACATAATTAATCGAATATTTAGAGCATAGAATATACAACACTGTAACTGTCAAGAACCAAGTGATGATGTAAAAGAATCGTTTTTTTTTTAAATAAAAGATTCTTTGAAGTGATCTGTTTGAAAAAAAAGAATCACTGCATGTTTAAATGGGCTTAATTTTGATTTATAAACCCCAATCTCACTGTAATTTATCTGAGGCACTATAACGCCATAGTGACATAGCGGCTTTATATGCTCTTTCTGCTTCTGATTCTTCATGTCAGCAGGGCCGCTGATGTGGCTCCATCTAGAATCATTCGCTCTGTGTGGATGTGCCGAGGCAGCATATTGCTAAGCAATTGCTGACAGGACAGTTTAAAGTCAGATTTTCAAACACACCCCTGTAGTGCCAGCTTTATATAGGCGTTCTGCAGATATATCATCAGCAAGGCAGCTGGAGATGACGACATCAAAATCCTGATCAGCTCTCGGTTGATGATGATCTTTGTTAGCACAAAAGCAAATGTTGGATGGGTCGTTGTGGGTAGGACATTAAGTCAGCATCCACCGAGCTAACAAGTAATTAACATGTTTGATAAATTGACTATGGGGCCGTTAACAAACACAGCCAGCCGTCTTCTTCAAGCCTCTGATCTTATTCCAACACAAAGAGGCTGTTTCTCAGTGGACGTCACCTTTGATCTTCTCAAGCCTCTTTTAAAAACCATATTCACCTATTTGCCTACACTGAGAGCCTGACTTTGTGTGTCATATCAGATGCTATTAAGACGGAATGACTCAAAGCTGGTCGATTATTTTTCTAATAAGACAAGGCAAGTATGAATTAGGCTTTGTCCTGAGCGTTAAACGCTAGGTGTGCGCGCCTGTTTTAAGCGTAAACCTTAAAGGAGGGTTTGTGACTTGTCGCCGGAGTGCTTTCACCAGCTGCGCGAGTGTGTGTTTGTGTTTTTATGTGCTAAGTGCTCCACCAGACCATGCCATTCAAGGTAGAGTGTGCGTAGCCTGGTCAGCTCTGCTTTTCTAATGTCTCGCCCTCCTGACCTCATCAGTCTAATTACACCCACCTCAAAATAACAGATGCCCCAGCGCCGGAGGGGGAGGAGGTGAGATAGAAACCCCTCGCTATACTTGAATAAAAAGAAATGGAGCAACGCAGTAAATCGTCATGCAATGAGCCTTATTTAATTTCGCCGTTCTGCTGCAAATTAGCGAGTAATCGGTGAAAAATACAATAGCATTGCTAATTCAAAGAGTTCATTTGTAGCCTGATCAATGGACTCGGCGGCTCTGGAATGTCTCATCACGGTGCTTTTCTTGAGCAGAGTTCTGCCTCATTTCCTCTGTTTATGGTGAAAGAGCGTGATCGTTATGTCCATCGATTCCTCTCGGGATTCTGGATATTTGGCTCTCGCTGTGGTGTAGGTTTGCCCGTGCTGTTTATTAATCACCATTAATCGGGGGATTAATTTGTCTGGTGCTTTTGTGTTTTTGGCAGGTGGCAGTCCAGGGCACGGGGGCGATGCCGTGTCAGCCGGGTTTCACTGAGAACGAGTACAACGTCATGACCGCCGACGTCATCACCGAGGGACAAGTTCTGCTCAAAGGTAAACAGAGATGTTTGCATTTATTTTCCTGATAAACGCCAATCGAACCGGTGCGGCAAAACGCTCCCTCACCAGGCTTCGATTTCCACCCTGATTCTGTTGGGAAGAGAAAGAGAGAGAGAAGGGAGGGTGGGGGAAGGGTGGGCTTTATGTGTGTATGTGAAAGAACGAGATGGGGTGTTAGGGTTGCTTTAGCTGGGGGTGTTTATAAAGGGGGATATGTGTGTGAGAGAAAGAAAAAAGCAGGAGGAGGGGAACACCTCAGTGTTTTGGTGGAATGTGTTTTGAAGGGCCACAGTGTGAAATATTTGGGCGGCTGAATCGCCCTCCCCCACCGTGCTCAAAACCCCCCTGTTGTGATCAATAGCATTGATTAGACCAGCCCGTATCCATACAGTCAGTCGATGGCACAGATCCCAGTTAGCCATCTCAATATATTCAGTCAATCCGGCAGGGGCCACATTTGTGCTGCGGTTGTAAACTTTGGAGACCTTGAAACATCCGTGTGTCACGTCTAATTACAACAGCGTAAAAAGAGCATAACTATGTGTTTTCCAGTAGATAAACTAAACTAAACCACCAGTTACACCCATGACTTGTGATTCAGTCGAAATACGTTATTGCAAAATTAGCGATGCACCAAAATAAAATTTTGAGCCGAAATGCTAATAATAGTTTTTATTGAGCTGAAAGTTTTTAGTAATCAAATTTGGTTATTTGAACTGCCCCTGCTGTTCAAGGTGTCGTGTTCTCAGGTAATAAATGAAGCCAGCCATAGTAAAGTTCTTTGGCAGCAAGCTGTCTCCTGATATTTCAGCCCCCCAAAAAAAATGGTGGTGAAAAATTTTTACTCAGAAATTTCTAGTAAATTTCACAAATAATTACAAAGAAATAATAAGTAACACATTGAAACATTATATTTTGAAGTAGAGAGACTGAAAAGTATTTTCTTATATTCCAATAAACTTAAAGCTGCAGTCCGTAACTTTTCGCGCTCTATAGCGGTTAATAAACAGAACTGCGTGCATCTTGCGGAAGAGCATTGTAGCCGGAGCTACTTCTCTGTTTATGTCTATGACAAATCACGCAGGTATTGGGCTACTCCGCAGTGGTGCCAACCCGAACCAGTCTAAAATAGTCAGAATATACACACTGATTATTTGGAAAATGGATTCATGATGTACTCGCTTATTATATAAATGTTATAAATTTTGAACACAAAAAGTTACGGACTGAGGCTTTTTACACTGCTGACATGTTTACCTGTAGTGTGGATGAAATAGAGTCTGAAACAGTCAAAACTCGCTGTCAGAGACATGCTAATTAAATAATTGTTTCAGTCAAATTATTTTTAACCCTCAAAACTATTTAATCTGAAACCAAAACTGCTTTTTTTGCTGTTTCGGCAGAATATTTTTTGGTTGTGCGTCACTAAGCAAAATATTTTTGTCCCAGAGAGCCGTGGAGTTGTTCTTTTTCTTGTCTAAAAGTGTTATGCGACTTTTAACAAGTGACATATTTTTACATTTCCATATCGTTGACTTATTCATGGGTTACTGTGGAAGAGAAAGTCCTAGAATACGAACAGACGGTCGCAAGCTGTAGCTTTGTGCCTCTTGAGGTCTATTTGCGAACTGTGGGACACACACACACTCACAAACATGCACACACACCTGTGACAGTTACAATAAAAGTAATAACACTTGCTTTAAATTTCACACTGAGAGTCGACATATCACACCCTGATAGGAATTTCCCAAGTGAGTGTGTGTGAGTCAGGAACTGCTGATGGCCAAGTTGTATCGCGCTCACAAAGACTGGTCATTTGATCTCACAGTTGACTCACTGATTCACTTCCTATGTCCTTTTCTGTAGAAAGGTGAGCTGTATCGCAGTGGCCACATGAACACAAAAGCGGTTCTCGTTTCATTACCATTTCAGCCTGTACGGTTAGCAAGTCAATGTGAACTCTGTTAAGCACAGTGCCTTTTGCCAAAGGATGCAAAAATTCACTTCCCATCATCCTCCTCCCTCCCCCTTCACTCTTTCTCGATCTCCCCCCTCCTGACAGAGGACTCGGGGAGTCTCTTGTTAAACATGAGGTAGATGTTTTGTGTCACTGACATTCATTCATCACATCCTTTTTAGGCAAATGACTTAGGGATGAAGACTTTCTCTTCTCCCCTGCAGCCTCTCTTTCACTTTCTCTCTCCCTCAGTCCCTCCTTTTCTTTTTAAGTGGGACAGAGAAATGTACAGTTAGTGCTGTCTCGCTGAGCCCACTCTGTGATTCCTACCCAAAGAATGTGCTTATGTAGTCTTTGCTGCTCTGAAGGATTTTAATTCACTTCCTGTGGGTCTGGAAGATGTAGATATAAAGTGAAAAACATGGCTTTTTTTTAGTCTTTTGACGGTTTATTGCATTTTTATATTTGTATGTCAGTTGACAACAGCCATTGTTTGCTAAGCAGATTTAAAATGAGTAATGTAAGAAATAAAATACAGTAAACATGTAATGAAAAAAAATCAAAGCATCTTATTTGTAATAGTTGCTCAATTTCATTTATATGCATTAATATACATACATACAAGTAAACAGCAATATTTACATCTAAATACACATACAATGTTTTTATTTTTGCTGTTCAAAAGTTTGGACCTCTTATCTTTACCAAAGCTGCATTTATTTTGATCAGAAAAATGCGAAGCTGAATTTTCAACATATGATACTTCAGAAATCATTTTAATATGCTCATTTGGTGATCAAGAAACATTTACTGTTATTATTGGTAATTTTGAAAACAGATGCACTGCTTAACAGAACTGTGGTGTGTGTGTATATATATACAGTGAATGATTTCACAAACAAAGGACTGAATCAGTAATAATTTCATTGGACAGTTTGTGGAAATTTATCAAAAATACCAAGTCAGTTTTGTTCATTTTAAGTTTAAATCTGAGACATTCAGATGAAGAGTTTATTCTCACATCCTTTTTCGGAAACCTAATGGCCAAATAAAAAGCATGTTAAAATCATTGTGCTTTCCAAGTTGCTTAGTTTTATATTGCCAGCAAAACCATCTGAAACATATCATGAATATTCATGGCATGCACAGCCCTACATGCCAATAAACCATTTTTTTTTTCTTTTAGGCCTCCTAAGCCTCTTCTCCAGCTTTCATCTGTTTTTCTTTTCCTCATATAATTCTCCCATCTCTTCTGAACAGAGATACTGCTTTGAAGTTTTAAGACAAACTTGTTTTACTAGAGGAGTCATTTTGTAACTTTTTTCCCATGAAATACCTTACTCAAGCCTCTTTTAACCACTGAGAATGTCCACTCCACAAATTTCTCTCTCTCCGTGTCCTCCTTGTGTTCACAGGAACCTGTTTTTACCTCGTTTGATCTGTTTTAAAACAGGAGAGAGCAAATGATCAGAGGAAGATGCAGTAGGTGAGAGGTGATTACCATATCGCACGCATCGCACCGCGCCGGAAGGCGGTGTTTGTTTTTGATCACTTCCGATTAGAGCCTATGAAACCCAACTTTCAGTTCTGCCTGTTTTTGTGAACAAGTAAAAGAGCTGAAAAACAATAATGAGTCAACACAGAGAAGGGGGAGAGAGTGACAGAGACAGAGTGGCTTTTTTGTCTGGCCCATGTGGGGGCTGTTGGTCACTGAGATTGACCAATCAGAACGCGGCTGTGAGGTCATCAGCATGCGGTTCACTGCCCCTCAATGGGCTGACTGAGGTGGAATTAAAAAAGGTTACGGGAATACAGAGAGCAAGGGGAGCGAGTGAGAAACAAAACACTGAGAGAAAGAGAGAGGTAGATTTGGGGGGTTGGCCCTCCTGGTGCTTTGTCCCTTCAGTGTTTTTAAATTAAATATGAAGTACCTAATGAGCTGTCTAAAGATTACCAAGCGTGCTATTGTCTTATTTGTTCAGGCACCGAAATTCTTTGTTGTGTGCATATACATGTGATAATGAACTGACATTTTTAATTAACCAAAAAAGAAACATAAAAACCCCGGGTGAGAGGAAGCTTTGCAGGAGTGGATTGTTCTCTACAGTTCACCATCAAAATCTGAGTCCCAGAGTTCAGTTCAGTCCTAATTCGCCCGTTTACTTGAGTGACAGCGCGAGTCACCCAGTTTGGCCTTTGCTGTCATTGTTTTTAAAGATCACATCGCCAACGACTGTGCTTTCCATCTTCATTTAAAGCTATAGTTCAACCAAAAAAGAAAAATGAAATCGTTTACTCAACCTCATGTCGTTCCAAACTTGTGTGACTTTCATTTTCCTGTGGAAGAAAAAAAAATACATATATTTCAAAAAATGTCTCGGTGGGTTTTTTTGTCCGTTTATTGAAAGTAAAAGTAAAATCTTCATTTAAAGTAGTAGTTCACCCAAAAATGAAAATTCTGTCATCTTTTACTCACCCTCATGCTGTTCTGAACTTGTATGACTTTCATTTTCCTCTGGAACACACACACACACACACACACACACATTGAAAGTCAGTAGGGTCCAATGTTGTCTGCAGAAGGATGGAAGTCATAGAGATTTAGGATGACAATTTTCATTTTTAGGTAAGCTATCCCTTTAAGACTGGAAAAATATGCACAAACCATTTTCACAATTCTTTAAATGCAACAGGAGGATGGGACGTGCTTAATTAATGGCTGTGTGGAAAGGTAGTCTGTGTTAAAGAGGTAAAGTAGAAGGGATGAGAGTAAAACGTGACCTCTCTAAAGCCTCAGCTCTGATCCGCATACGGTCAAACCTCTGGGCTTGACAAACGCTCTCTCTCTCTCTCCCGGTAGGATTTGGCCACATGGACTTCATTACCCTAAATCGATCTGGCAAAACCAAGACCCTAAGAGTATTGATCAGAGCATGCATATATGAGAGAGCTGATGCATGTGAAAAACGAAAGAAAGAGAGAAGAAAGAAAGGATTAATCCTTGGGTAGTGAACCTGGGATAGACAAAAAATAG